GAGGAGAAGGTTGCTAGTCGAGGGACGAAGGAACTTCAACATTGAACATTGACATGAATGAGATATTTAAGAGGGCTATTAGAGGAGGAGATAGTAAGAGGAAGAGAATATACGAAATCATGTCCAAGTCTCTCTTTATTATTATAATATCGGTTCATCCTCTAGTTTGACCACATCGCGAGTTCCATATTGATATTAATGAGCATTGAAAGGAAATGGAGGCCAATAATGCTAGACTAGAAGAAAAGATAGCAAAGCTAGAGGGTAATGTTACATCGATCCTAACTACTACAAATTGACTGGAGTGGCTTAATCGGGAGCAATATGTGAGTGCGACAAATGCGATAATTAAATATGCTAAAAGGTAATTCCCCACCAATCCTTCGATCGACCATCGTTCATCGGATGAAAATACTGATATGTGACATGTAACCCCTTCATCACACTATGTTTTTTTATAACTATTATATTTTTATTTGCTGAAATATTAATACATTTTAATTTATTTTAGTGTTTGAGTATATATTGGTTTTGATATATTATAAAGGATTCGTATTTTCTATAATTCTATTTCTTACTTGTTATTATAATTGTTGAATTGGATTAGATATATGAAAATAAAAATAAGATATATTACTTATTAGCGACATGTGAATAATGAAATAATTGACTAAAATATCATTAAAAAAAATTAATTAGTGACAATTTTAAAACGGTGGCTAAATCCAAGCTAAATTTTGCCAAAATTAGCCATGGTTTAGGTAAATTAAATATAAGCTAAATTTAGCAAAGGTTTATCGATGGTTTTTGAAAACTCTGTCACTAAATTTGACTATTTTGGTGATTTTCCTTCATTTGTTATTGATGGATAAATCATCTCTAGATTAGCAATAGAAACCTTAAACCATCACTAATAATTAGAAAGAATCTTTTTAATAACGAGTTTTAGACCATCTCTAAACCATCGCTATGTTTAATTAGCGATGATTTTTTTTATTTAGCGATGGTTTGAACTATCGCTAAATCAACTTTTTTTAGTGTGTGTGTTTATATATATATATATATATATATATATATGCAACTTTAAATTAGTAATTTAATTTCTTGTATTGGAAAATAAGATGTATTTTTTACCTAATTTATAGATCAAGCAAAACAAAGACTTCTCTGCAAACAATCTTGTAATGCTCCAATCCCAACTTGAAAGAAATAAGAAAGACATTGATTATATAAAAGACTGAGTACTAGAGCACCACTTAATAACTTAAACTTAAGTTTTCAAGTCATCCATCAAGTTCTCATGAGTCATTGACTACTTGGGATATTTCAAATAGCTTCAAGTCATTAGTGGTTTTCTAGTCAAGTTCTTGTATGTCCAAAATGTTCATTCTTTTTCAATGTGGAAATGGAACGTCACATACCATATAGCTTTAAGTTATCAATAGTTCCTTATTCAAGATCTTGTATGCCTAAGATCGCTCATGATCTTTTTTATTCCTTTTCCATATGGAATTAAAGCACCATGTATCTCAAAGACACATCTTTTGTATTGATTTGAAATATTTAGAAAAAAATTTAAAAGATTCTTTTAATGATGCTTTTAAAAGAAGAAAGCATATCTTATTAACCACCAAATCAACCCTTTAGAATTTAATTAATAATTTAACAAACTAAAATATATGTTATTAATATGGTGCGAGTGATGGATGCACTTGGATTCATGAAGATAGGTGTAATTGGTTAAATTGGTTTAATTGGATTATTTATATATTTGTATGTGTTGAATTGGTGTAAATGAATATGTTAAATGTGTTAATTTTATGAATATAGATTGGCTACTTAGTTAGGGAAATTTGACCAAACCATAGAATTAATTGTGAATGAATTAATTTATGTTAGATGGTGTTTAAATGGATTAAAGGAATGAGTTAATATGGAAGCATGTGTTTATGTTGTAAATATTGAATGTTTTATGGAAGCATGTGTTCATGTTGTGAATAATTAATGATTCAAGTTGGTATTGATATAGTGATTAATTAGCTAGTATTGCTTGGATTGGTTTAATGTGGTTTTGTGTGTTACTTAGTTGATCATGCAATTGTCATGTTTACCATGCATTTTATGAAATGATTTTCAACATGCCTCATCACTATATGAAAATTGTCATTTAGCGATAGAAAAACCATCGCTATTAAGCGCAAATCCATCACTTAAATATTGTTGCTAAATCGAACAACGGATGAATAGTAACCAAAGTTAAATTTTTCCATTGCTAATTGGTCACCAAAACCATTGTCTTCCCACCAAATAATGGGTCCCTATTTCGTCGCTAAATCCATCACTAATTAACCAAATATAAAACACGGGTTTCTCATAAGAGCATATGATTGAATGACTAATTATTTATATTGATTTTCATATGCTATGGATAAATAAATGGCCAGCATAATTGAAGAGAACCCACATGATTTTTAAAAACAAAACTACTACTTCATTAAATATCAAAAGATTTGATAAGGACATAGCACCATGTAAGCTCCATGGCATCAACTCTTGAAACTAATCGTTTGTTTTTTTATCCTAAGCTAGTTCTAGTAAGCTACTAAAAAGGAACTACTTGTTTAAGAGATAGAAATACAAGTAATTACAACCTAAGTAATTCTACACCAAATTGCCAAATGCTCCATTCCTTGCATCCTCAACTACTACTCCTAGTTAGCTTACTCATCATCATCTTCCTCCTTTATAACAATAACCAAACAAGATAATTAACCCAAAACTCTAGGAGAACCCCCAAACAAATAATACAAGTTTGAATCTAGTTTTGATTTGAAACCTACATCACTCTCGTCTTCCTCATCCTCATCATTCACTTCCGATTTGGACTTGTCGGATTCATTATTAGTGTTTCCTCCAGCTTAGAATCATCCAATAGAATCCAATCATTTCCACAACAAACTATAATTCAATAATTATGTTCCATAAAAGCACAACTTTGAAAACAAAAGGTTATCAACAACGGAAAGTATACCAATCTCTTATTATAAGCGACCATGTCCTTGTTGTATTTATTCTTTCTCTTCTTAGCTTTGGTCACAAAAATAACTTTCTCCTAATATTATTAACAAATTTTAAACCCATTAAAAAAATAAAAGAGAGAGATAACTAACCAAAGGAGGTGAGAGAGAGGTTAGATTGCACTTAGTAGTTTCAACGTTGTTTTTGGGGAGGAGGAGAAGGAGAGGGAAAGGGAGAAATTATGGGAAAAAGAAAAGGGCTTACGGGTTTTAGGGATTTAGGATTAGTGACGGACGCGATTCCGTCACTAATCCATCCCTAATTTACGATGAAAATAAGTATCTATCATTGATTTGAATTTTAAACAAGTGCCCAATTCTAAAATTTGGGTAATTAGTGATGAAATAAATTTTGTCACTAATCCATTTCTAATTAACAATGAATTAGCAACGGATATAAGTGTCTGCTTGCTAATTTGAATTTTAAACGATCGCCCAATTTTTTTAATTTTTCAAAAATTTGGGCAATTAGTGGCAAATTGGGAATTTTTTCCATCGTTAAATTTTTGTCGCAAGTCTATCGCAAATTGTTGTATTTTTAATTTCATCGTCAATCGATCACTATTCGGTAACTAATTAGCAACGAAATACAATCCGTCGCTAATTGTCCATTTTCTTGTAGTGCATGATTTTCAAAGACAATAATCAAGTGCCTAGATTTTTAAGAAAATGGCTAGGCATGTCCCAATCACAATCATAAGCTTAATCATGCCACACAAAGAGAATCATATGATGTAAACTCTTCCGGGTATCACAAGATTCACGGGAGAATCACGAATTTCACAAGGGACATGTCTAGTGCTTTTTATGATGTTCACAAACATGGTTTTCATGGATAGTCGAATATATAAATATATTTGATAGGATACATCCGATCATAGAAAACGTATTTCTAAAGTCACGAAAATGTATTTCATTGCATCATGCATACATGACTACACTTACTAAGCATTAACTCACCTTTTATTTCTTGTGGTGTAACTGAAAAATGTCCAAAATCATGTGCATCAAGTTGCCAAAAAGAAGACCGTCTTGCCGGTGTTTGTGCTTAATAAATTAGGTGTGAGTGAGAAGACTTTTTCTTCTTTTTTTATATAATGTTTTAAACTTAAAACATGCAGTAGGTTTATCACTTAAAAGTTTGTAAAAATAATGATATTCCTATACTAGTTCTATAAATATTAAATAAATGGATATGTTTGATTTGGTTTAGTTTAAGTTTAATAAATTAAATTGATGGTTCGACTAATAAAATCGGTTTAAGTGATTAATTGGATTAAATAAGAAAATTAAATTAGGTTCAATTAGAATTAAATGGCTAAAGGATTAAATGAACTAATTGACTTAATGGCCTTAATTTAATCAACATGAATAAGTTGGATTTAATAAGTTGATAGCAATTGGATTTAATTGGTAACGAATAATTGAGCTTAATGGATTAAATGTATTTGATTTTAGTTCAAATAATTGAAATTGATGTTTACTAAGCTTAAAATGCTTTGCCAAGGATTTAATCCATAATTTAGATTTCAAAGGGCTAAATTAAAGTTTTAATTGAGTTGATTAATTGGTTTACTAACTTAAAATATTTTTATAACAATTCTAAGTTATTGACTAATTAATTGGTGGTTAAATAAGTAAAGATAAATTGAGTATTTTCTAATTAAATAGATTAGTTTACAATTAATTGGGTTTTTAAGGAAATTTATATATAAATAAATTAGTTTAAGATGATTATTTCATTTTATGATTAAATCCGAATTTCTATAAAAGAAATTGGAAAAATTTTAAGAGACAAATTAACTTACTTTCATTTAAAGTATTTTATTAAAGTATTAAAATTAAGCTTGACGACTACAAGTTTTCAAGCAAAATTTTAGACAAGTATTTCTATATAATTGACAAAAGAGTATTTTTATAAAAATGACTTATGTTGAGAAAAATGTATACCTAATTTTATTTAGAGTTTGGACCTAACTAATTAAATCAAATGAGCTTTTGCCGTGTGCATTAATAGTTCAGACAATAATTAAAGAAACAAGGCTTAATGTCTTGTATTCATTGTATTTAGAATATGAGGTATTATTGGTAATGCTCTCGATCTATGTAGGTTTTAAATCGGGGAAGTTACAGAGCTATAGACATCCATGCTGATATTTCAGTGCATGAGAAGAAACTACAAGAAATTGAGCAAAAAGAAACAGCTGCTGGTAACAAAGTAGAGTTGGACAAAAGCGTTTCTGCCATGAGGTGCAATTTTAACGAAGTAAGATTGAAGATAGAAGAACGCGTACTGAAGAATCCACTAAAGAATAAAGATTTTGAAAGGACTGCTGACAGGTTTGTTACTACTGCTGCAAAGAGAGAGTGCCGACATGATTCCTCCGCAGGGGCTGTCATCCACAAGAAACTAAGGGCAAGATGCTTTGGGTTTATTAAGCCTAGAGAGGTTGTTGTCCGTTCTCTCAATTGCAACTCAAGGGGTTTAGAAATGGTCCGACACACATTACAGAAGGAAAATGTACATGACAATGATGATTCTGCAAAAGTCATTTTGTTGTTGCTGTTGATTGTGGACGCACAAAAGCAACAACACGTGAAAATTATTGCAGTTGCTAACGAGGAAACAACGGTGACATAAAAGAAAAGGTCAGATTGAAGTTGGTTGCATACGTGAAAATTGATAAAAGAATTGTCTTTTAAGAACAACTTTATTCCAGATGAAAATACTGAATGATAAACATACCACGTTGTGCAGCCTTTAAATAGGCCTTTACATGATAAACACGTAGCCACTTCCTGCAAATTCTAACTGATAAAGTTCCAAAATATTGACACCTATTCTTTGACTCCTATAGACTCTCAAATGCTAGATAAACATGGACCAAGTCAATAACAGCAAACACAAAATTTTAGCAATAATAAAAAAGGCCAAAGACGAAGTCAGGCCACGTTGGAATTATATCCAACATTTCCAGTCATGAATCTGAATTTCTTGAATTTATTTTCTAGAAAGGCTTTTGTGAAGATATCAGCTGGTTAAATGTCAGTGTTATAGTACTGCAACTCAATCTCTCCTTCGACAACAAGTTTGTTAGAATCTGAGAATTTTCTAGATACTTTAAGTATCATTTTGTAATCCTTGGTTAGTTTAAAAGGAGTGAAGCTCCTTATTTTGTGGGATTTTGTTTTGAAATACTTTTTGTAATCTGAGTTGGTATTGCTACAGTAATATGTGCTACAGTACCATGTATATATTTGTACCAGAATATCAAAGTGTGATACTCTGTTTTTTGCCTTCTCATGCTCTGTTTTACGTTTCCTTCTCTGTAACTTCTTTTTTCTTCTTATCTTGTCTATGAACTGATATTGTTTAGTTCTCTGATGAAGTGGTGCTTTGTTTCAATATGTTTGGTTCTTCCTTGCTGAACTGAATTCTTAGACATTGCAATGGTTGATTTGTTGTCACAGAAGATCACCAAAAGTTCCTTTTGCTTGTGCTTCAAATCCTTCTAGATTTTCAGCAACCAAATGGCTTGACAAGCTATTGTTGAGGCAGCTATATACTCTGCTTCAGTGCTTGATAAGATAGTAGACTCTTGCCTTTTTTGATGTCTAGGAAATTGATCCTGAACTTAAGACTAAAAATGTAACCAGTTGTGCTTCTCCGATCATCTGCACAGGTTGCCCAATTACTGTTAGTAAAACCAACAAGATTATATGAATCTCTTTTATTGTACCTTATGCCAAATGTTGTTGCGCCATTAATGTATCACATAATTCTCTTAGCTGCTCCAAAGTGATGCTTGCTAGGATTGTGCATGAACTTGGAAATGAGACTGACTGCAAACATAATATCTGGTCTTGTATTGGTGAGATACATAAGCCCTCCAACTACACTTCTAAATTGTTTCTCATCTACTTTTTCAACCCCATCATTTAGTGAAAGCTCCTCGGTTAGTATTTAGTGGAGTCTTGGCAGGCTTGCAATCTACCATGCCAAACTTCTTCAATAAATTCTCAGCATATCTTTTCTGATAAATGAAAATTCCATTTGAATCTTGCAAAACTTCCAAACCCAAAAAGTAATGCAAACTACCCAGATCTGACATCTCAAATGTTAACATCATTGAATTTTTAAATTCATCCACCATATGAGAGAAATTTCCAGCATAAATGATATCCTCAACATACAAACATACAGCTAAAAATTCATTGCTGACACTTTTCACATATAAAGTTGATTCAATGGGACTCCTTTGAAAACCATTTTTAGTAAAGTAAGCATTAATCTCACCATACCAGGCTCTTAGTGCTTGCTTAAGCCCATAGAGCACTTTATGCAGCTTTTAAACTTTATGCTCTGACCCTTTTACCTCAAAACCTTATGTTTGATGAAAAAACACATCCTCAACAAGATCACCATTAAGAAATGCAGACTTCACATCTAATTGATAGACTACCTAACCATTTTGAGCAGCCAAAGCTAAAAAAGTTTGAACAGTATCAAAACGAGCAATAGGAGCATAGGTTTCTGTGAAGTTAATACCTAGGATTTGTGAGTATCCCTTTGCTAAAAGTCTGGCTTTCCGCGTTTGCATGACCCATCAGCATTGTACTTTGATTTGAAGACCCATTTCAGACCAATAGCTTTCTTTCTCTTCGGTAAATCCACCAATGAACATGTCTTGTTCCTCTCAATGGCTGCAATTTCTTCTTTCATTGTGTCACACCATTCCTTTTTTACAATTGCTTCTTCAAAACAAGCTGGTTCCAAGGCAAAGCAAGTATATTCGCAAGAAGCATAAATTTCATCAAGGTTTCTCATCCTCCTTGGTTAGAACTTGGAGAGGGTGATGGAGTCGCATTTGCATCATCAAGTCTAAATGACTCAAGAGTTGTTCTGCTTTCCAACATTTGTATTGGCAATGTTTCCCAATTCCAAGCTTAATTTTCATTAAACACAGCATGACAACTAACAAATAACTTATTAGAATTTGGATCATAAACCCTATAGACTTTAGTTTCTTCACTATAGCTAACAAAAATACATTTTATGCTTTTATCATCCAATTTACTTCTTAACTCAGAAGGCACGAAAGCAGAGGCTATACAACCAAATATTCTAAAATGACTTATAGCAGGTCTCCTCCCATACCAAGCTTCTTACGGTGTCATTTGTTGGACAGATTGACTTGGAAATCTATTCAACAAGTAAACTACAACAGCTATAGCTTCAACCCAAAACTCCTTTAAAAGCCCTTTCTCCTTTAACATGCTTCTTGCAGCTTCTATGACTGTTCTATTCTTGCACTATACTACCCCATTTTGTTGAGTTGTATAGCTAGCTGTGAGTTGCCTTTGAATTCCATGATCATTACAGAACATTTTGAATTCTGTCGATGCAAACTCACCTCCACAATCAGTCCCTAATTTCAAAATAGAACAACCTATTTCCTTTTCAACAATTGCTTTAAATTGCTTAAAGTAGTTAAAAGCTTTAGACTTTCCTTTCAAAAAATAAACCCAGGTCATTCTCTAAAAATCATCCATAAAAAAGCAAGAAGTATTTACTTCCATTCAAGGAGAGTGTATCTAAAAATATAAGCTTCGCATGGCTTTTTTTTTTTTTTTCTTTTAACCATTGGAAGACCAGCTACCATATTCTTTTTGCACAACAACACTAGTCCATCAACATTCAAATGACCAAACCTTTGATGCCATAACATAAGATCATTACCAGATGCACTAAATGCATTGATACTTAGTTTTGAAAAATAAAAATGAAACATTTTGTTTTCAATCATTTTGACTGAATAAATCAGCTTCATGTTCCTTTTGTAAATAATATGGCATTCATCATTATCAAAGACAGCATAGTACCCTTTCTTCATTAACTGACCCAAAATAAGTTTTGAGCTAAACCAAGAACATACATAACATCATGTATAATTTTGTGACCATATTGAGAAACCACAACAGCTGTACCCAAACCACATACATAAACCCTGTCATTATTTCCCATCTTTACTTTTATCTGAACAGAGTCATCAATCTCCACAAAGAAATTTTTGTTTCCTGTCATATGGTTGCTACAGCCACTATCAAGATACCAAATATCCTCAGACACATCAACATGGTTAGCCAACAGGAGATAAACAAATTATCTTCAATGGTATCTTCATTTTCTTCAATACAATTAGCTTACTCTTTAGTATTTTGCTAGCAGTTTTTAGCTATATGGCCATATTTGTTGCATGCATAACATTGAATTCCACCTTCTTTTTTTACCATTATTTTTCTTATACCAACAATCTTCTTCCTCATGATTAGTTCTTCCACAATGAGAACATGGATTTAAGTCAACGTTGTTACGTTGAGGATTGTTTCTTTGTTGATTACTTCTACCTCTACCTCTACCTCTATCTCTAACCCCAGAAGTTTCACCTCGACCTCTGTCATTGTTGCCTCTTCTTGAGCCATCAGATATCCTTTTCTCATTGAATTCCAACTGAAAAGCTTGTTATGGAGAAGCTTCAACTGTCCTACCCAAACGCTGCTCATAGGACAAGAGTGATCCCATTAATTCATGAAGAGAATAGTCTGACAGATCCTTTGATTCTTCAATAGCAGCAACAACATGATCAAACTTGGAAGGAAAGATTCGCAAAACCTTCTCAACTACTTTCTGGTCGGGCATCTCTTCTCCAAATGATCTGATTTGATTCACCACTGAAGAAACTTTGGTGGAAAAATCTTGGACAGATTCTGAATGTTTCATTAGGAGATTCTCGAAATCTCGACAAAGAGTTTGTAACTTTACAGTAATCACTTTTTAGATCCTTAATAATCTTCCTCTAGCAGGCCCCAAGCTTCATGTGATGTCGTAGCTCCCATAACTCGTGGAAAAATTGCATCATGTAATGCTTGCTGGATTAGAAATAGAGCCTTTGCATCCTTTCTTTGTTTTTCTTTAAACTCATTACGTTGTCCTGCAGTTAGCCGCTCTGCATCTGCAAGATCACCAAGACCATTCTCAACCAGGTCCCATAAATCATACGACATAAACAGAGTCCTCATCTTGATACACCAGAACTGGTAATTAAGACCAGTAAAGACCGAAATATTTTGAGACGAACTTGGAACAATGTTATTAGAGGCCATATTAAAAGCTGGTGTTCCTAAGCGCTCACAACTCTCTATATGTTTTACTCACGGCTCTCTTCTCTCTGTGTTTTACTCACGGCTCTATTATCTCTACACTCAGTGTTCCACTCACTCTCACACTCGTGGAACCTGGCTCTGATACCACAATGAAAAAGAATTGTCTTTTAAGAACAACTATATTCCAGATGAAAATACTGAATGATAAACATACCACGTTGTGCAGCCTTTTAAATAGGCATTTACATGATAAACACGTAGCCACTTCCTGCAAATTCTAACTGATAAATTCCAAAATATTGACACCTATTCTTTGACTCCAATAGACTCTCAAATACTAGATAAACATGGACCAAGTCAATAACAGCAAACACAAAATTTTAGCAACAATAAAAATGGCCAAAGACTAAGTCAGGCCACGTTGGAATTACATCCAACAAAAATAATTCCAGTGAGCTTGAAGTTGTTGACGGACATGGACTCAACTTGAAACTGCTTGTCAATGCCAAAGCAGTTTCACGCAGGATAATGCAACAAAAGTGTCATCTACAGCCACGACTACCTGTGAATCATTTTGTGACCAAGAATAGAGTAGCTTATTGGAGGAAGTTTTTTGCCTAGTGTTAAGTTCCTTGTGTCAAGAAACGGTAGTGTTTGTCTTCATGTAGTGCTAGACTTCAAGCCACTGTTATATTCTCTCAAACAGACGTGAGTCCACGGCATTCTGATATCAAGGAGAACGTTTGAGGTAAGTTTTGAAATACTTCCAGGGCTAAACAAAATGAAGTATGCCAGCAGTGTTATTTATGAATTCTTGCTTCTTGAATGTCCATTTGAGTCGAAACTCACTTCTGGACTGATCGTGTTAGAGCATGGAAGGGCAGTTCATGAGATCACCTATGACCAGCTTCATAATATTAGCAAAGGTGAAACTCGTATCATATTTGCACATAATTTCAAGATTCCTCGCTGGGAATGTTGTTCAAAGGACTATGAGAAGCTGTTATTTCAAAGTTCAATCTTACCTAAAGTGAATAAGCTATTTGAAGCAATTGAATTAGCATTGGCGTTCAAGAGAGATGCACCAAGAATAATGTTAAAGGGATTTTGTGGCTACCATGAAGAAAGATGAATATAATTGTGGGGTTACTTGGAACCTGACAGGGAGGATGCTATTTATGAATGTGGAAAATGGTAATATTGAAAAACTACCACGACGATCTCTTAATCCACATGCAACTATCATAGCTTGTACAAGTCGTTGCTACTGCATAGCCATTGACAAAAAGGGGATATATATTTGCTTTTGGAGGGAAAGGCGTTGGTGTCTTGATGAGAAGTTCATCTCCAATTAACATGAAATTGACACCTATCAACGTTGGCAATAACCCCATAAATTCAACCAGTGCTTTTTGTATTGCTTCTGTAAGTATTGATATCAAGCCAGCGTCTCCGAAGGAAAATTTTGGGGAACTATCTCATGTAGCAAGCCATGAGATGTTCATGTGTATCACTGATTCAAGGTGGCTTGAAATGCTAATTGGCTCTTCAAAACAATCCCTGAATTTGTTTTTTTTAAAAAAAAAAAAAAATCCATATCATCCCGCTATTTTTCAAGTTCAAGAACAATCAACATGGAATCAGAAGATGTTAAGCTGAATTGCATGGATTACTTGAAGAAGCCAAGGGAAAAGAGTTGGAAAGCTTCAGTTGGACATCTAAGGGATCGAGGAAAAAATGAATCAAAACTCTAGTCAAGTTTTCAACAACCTAGGGTGTTTGACATGGAAGTGTGCCTGAAGAACCTCATTAGGGCCGAAAATTTTAAGTTGTGGCAAGGAAGTTTCTTTTCTACATGGGCCAAAATTTACGTTGTTAGGATAAGTTTTCCTTAATATTATTCTTAACATTATCCTTATTTTATTCCTTAATTAGGATTTAATTGTACAAAAGATTCCTGTGACTTTTGGATTCTTTATTTAAATTTTTTTTTTTTTTTTTTTTTTTTTTTTGTGGTATCCTTAACTTGATCATTCAAGGTGGTGCTGTCAATTAACTATTCTAACTAAACATGTAATGAGTTCTTAACCTTCCTAAAATCATTTTAGGTTAAATCACATTGTTTGATTGTAGTGGAGTTTGTCATTATCTTTGCCAAAAATCAATCAATACTAAGGTCTTTCATCTACAACATAGTTTCAACCTATACGACTCAAGGTTGAAATGTTTATATCATTCATTAAATGAAGAAAAAACGATTTTTGGATTCTTAGTTTTTAAAAGGACTAAAATTTGGTAGCCACAATAAGATTATATTGGAGTGTATGTCTTAACTCGAAGCCATCATGAACACGATGTCAAATATGCTTAGTAAAAGCAAGAAAAACAAGATTGATAGATAAGTAAGTAGCACCAAAATTATCACATCAATAAGTATGAGGAGATAAAGGAGTAACGAGCAACTCACAAACAAAAAAATAAATATAGATTTGTTTGGCAACGCCATCATACTAAGTTTTATATACAACTAACATTGACTAGCAAGCAACAATTTATTGCTTACTAGATTCCCAAGAGATAAGATTATGTCTTAGAAAAATAGCATAGCCACCCAAAGACTTTCAATTATGAATACTACCAAGCTAGTCAGCATTAGTAAAGGCATAAAGCCTAAGAGATGAGTACCAACTAAGATGAAGACTATGATCAAAAGTGTGTGGGAGATAGCAAAGAATTTGCTTGACGAGTCATACAATGATTTTCAATATGAGAATGCATGAATTGACAAGCTTTGTTAACAACAAATATGATATTGAGATGAGTACAAGTCAAATATTGTAAAGCACAAATAGCTTGATGATATTTGAAAGCCTCAAAAAAGGTCATGCTATTGTCGAGACAAAATTTGGTAAAAGTGGATGCCAAGATAGCATTTGATTTACATGGGGACATAGCACTACTAGAAAAATATCAATTAGCGATGAAAATTAGTGACGAATTTTAATCCATTGCTATTTAGCGATGGATTAAAGATGGACTATAAAAAGTTGTGTTTTACGATGGATTAGTGACGGACTAATGAGGGATAATTAACGATGGTAAAAAATCTATCACTAAATAAGGTGGGGAAAAAAGTGTCAAAATTAGCGACAGATTAGTGATGGCTTTGTGGTCTCAAAATAGAAAAATTAGTGACGGATTCAATTAGCTACGAATTTTAGAATCGTCGCTAAAATTAGTGGTAGACTTTCAATATGTCACTCATTAGCGACGAACATCAAGTCCATCACTAATTTATGCCTTTTTTGGGAGGAAATTCTCCCAAAATGGCCCAAAGTTAACAACGGATTTTGGAATCCGTCGCTAAAATTAGCGATGGACTTGAAGTTCATCACTAATTAACAACGGATTCCAAAATTCATCGCTAATTTGTGCCTTTTTTAGAGGAAAATTCTCGTAAAATGGCCCAAAATTGACAACGGATTTTGGAATCCATCACTAATTTGTGCCTTTTTTGGGGAGAAATTCCCCCAAAATGGCCCAAAATTGGTGATGAAAATTTGAAGTTCGTCACTAATTAGCGATCGACATTAAATCCGTCACTAATTTTTGCCTTTTTGGGGGAAAATTCTCCCAAAATGGCCTAAAATTAACGACGAACTTCGAGTAGTGATGGATGCCAAGTTCGTCGTTACATCACCGAAGTTTTACGACGGACATGACGTCCGTCACTAAACTTTGAGAATTTGGGGGAAATTTCCCTCCAAATTAGTGACGGACTCGTAATCCATCGCTAATCGGTGATGGATTAGCGACGAAATTGAGTCCGTCGCTATTTTGTCTTTATATATACCATCTTCTTCTTCTTCTCCATTGCTTCCCTCACCTCCACCATATCTCCTCTTTTGTCGCCACCCACAAAAACGCCCACCCATGCCTCCCCACACTACTAAATCTTTTTCAAAACCATTCAACAAGTGAGGGGTATCTTTCTCTCTCAAAATTAGATCGGATTTGTATTCTCTATCCTTGATCTATCGGGTAAAACTTTCTCTCTCTAACCCTTATGTTTTTTTTAATTAGATAATTGTTATAAATTTTTCACTAAATTTTGTTATTTGTTAGTTTATTAATTGTTTGAATGTTGTTAATTATCTTGTTATGTTAAGTTGTGTGTAGTAATTTAAATTTGTTAGTTGTTATTTTATTTTTATAACTCGTTAAATTAATTTTGTTAAGTTTTATTTTGTTGTTATGTTAATTGTTAGGTTAATTTGTATGTTAACGTAAACCTTAAAATTTTAAATTTTTTTAATTTTTAGTTAGATTAAAATTTAATTATTTAATCTTAAATTGTTATTTTAATTAAGCGAATTAATTATATATTTATTTGTTTTTAGTGTTAGGTTAATTTGATTAGTTGTTTGTTTAAACTTAATTTTGAAATTATATAATTTTTTATGTAGTTTAGTTAAATTTGGTTGAAATTATATAATTTTTGACATAGTGTAGCCATTTCGAATGTAAATTTTATAAATAATTTTATTAGTTTAATTATTAAAATTGAAATAAGATAACATTCATAAAGATTTGATCGTTCCTTCCACTCGGCTTCCAGTTCAACCTCCAGTTGAGCCCTCCACGTAGTATAAGGATGAAGATATGGGATTAGACGAGCGAGGATGAGTGACATAATATTCGACTCACTTTTTTTGTTTTGTTATTTTTATGGAACGTATTCTAGAATGATTTTGTTAATATTATTTTATTTTTCATATATACATGATTACTTATAATTTTTTATTATTAAATATTAATTATTAAATGTCATATTAATAATTTAATTTTAAAAAATGTCAACAAAAGCGATAGAATTGTGAAAAAATTATTTTTGAAATTAGTGACGGAATAGCGACGGATTGGTGACAATTTCTTTTTTCAAAATTAGCGACGAAATAGAGACAGATTGATTTTAAAAATTAGCGACGGACTAGCGATGGATTAGCAACGGATTTAGTTTCAAAATTAGCAATGGATTAGCCACGAAAAAAAAAGAGCAATGTTACAACAAGATTAGCGACGGATTTTTTTGGTTTAACGACGGATTTTCCGTCACTAAATTTAGCGACGAACCGAGTAATCTGTCATAAAAATTTAGCGACCAACAAAATAGCGATGGAATATGGTCCATCGCTATTCATAATTAGTGATGGAATTCGAGCGTTTAGTGACGGAATATTCCGTTGCTAAACTCAACTTTTTTGTAGTGTAGCAATCCGAGCAAGAATACTCGAATATATTTCCACCAACAAAGAAGAAGGTTTGACTAGTGTCACCTCAACATCAAAAAAGTATCTAGGAGGACTAAGATCAAGTTAAAATTTAGTAGTAATTCATGCAATAAGAGTTGTAATATGAGAAGAGCTAGTACCCATGATAATAATATCATCGACTTAAACTAAGAGGAAGATAAAAACCTTAGCAATATATAGAATAAAAAAAAGTAATAGTTTTAGAGCTTACAAAGTCAAGGCGAGAGAAGAAATTATTGAGCCGAGAGTACCAAGTATACAGACACCTATTTTAGCCCATATAAAGATTTGTGCAACTTGCATACATGATTGGAATATGTGGAATTAACAAAGCCAAAGAGTTGCTCTAAAAACACATCATTGGAGAGGATACCTTTAAGAAAGGCATTATGAATATCAATCCGATGAAACAATCATTATTAGAAACAACAATGTTAAGTATAATTCCAATGGTAGCAGGTTTAATAACAAGGCTAAAATTTTTAATATAGTCCACACTTTTTTGTTGGTAGCACATTGAAGAGATTTATTAGCTTTTTTTATACAATAAACCCAATGAAACCTAACAACATTCTTATGAGGGAAACATAGAACAAGAGTCCATGTATGATTAGGATGTAAGGCATCCATTTTAGCAAGTATAGCAACATACCATTTAGAGTAAAGATTGACCTCTTTGAAGAACATAGGCTCATGGTCCGGAGGATCTAAAGATCGAGAGGCAATAGCTAGTGTGTTAGAAATAATGTTGAGATTTATTGCTAGTTTAGAATGGATATGAAGACCAAGAACCATCTTGTGTATGCATTGAGTAAGAGGA